GTGATGGCGGCGCGGGAGAAGCTGCGGGCCAGGTCGGGTCGGAGGCGCCCAGGTAGGAATCCCAGCTCCCCCCCGCCGGGTGCAGTGGACTCGCCCTTCTCCTCCAGCCCCGCGCGGGGGGACAGAGCCATCCCGGGAGGGGGGGGGCGAACACGAGCGTTACGTGCGGGGCACCCCTGGGGCGCCAGCTCTGAGCCTCGTGCTGGCCGCCTCGGCCGGCGGGCCGTGCGACCCCTGTGCTCAGCCTCCCCCATGTCCTGCCCCGTCGGCTGCGTCCCGGGGGAGGGCCGGGGCAGGCGCGTGCTTGGTTGCAAACGCAGACTGGGCTTTGCTGGTTGCCCCCTCCTGGCTTTCTACTATACGTGTTGGTGGTTCTGCTGGGGCCAAAGCCACGGGTTCCTGGCTGGGGTCTTGCCCTCTGCTCAGGGTCAGATTTGGGGTGAGGAAGGAACTTTACCCTGCGGTCAAATTGGTAGGGACGGGGGAGGATTGCTTTCCTCTGCAGCAGGGGCATGGCCCTCCTTCCCCAGGACCTCTTGAGTAGATATTACTAATCTTTTAGAGAAGCAGGATGTTGGCTGTGTGGTTCCCATGCTTTCCCTGCGCCAAGTAAGGGTAGGGCTGACAGCAGATTTATGAAGAGTTGACATCATGGATTTGTATAGGATGTTTTGGATAGGGATGATCCTGTCTCAGGCAGGGGGTCGGGTTAGCTGGCCTCTGGAGGACCCTTCCAGCCCTACTTCTCTGTGATTTCCCATGTTGGGAGGGCCCAGATAGTTTGGATTTGTGCTCAAGGTACATAAATGACATGTCTTGCCTCTGTTCTGTCATCTGCAAAATTTGGGCCTTACCAGTCTGTTTTTTCTTGCACCTGAATATTGATTTTGTAATTGTTGAGTTGACACCCTTTCAGCCTCCAAAAGTGCACGTATCTTGATTGTGCTTTCCTCTTTTGCGTTTGCAAATCCTTTTTCCTTATGATCTAGTATTTCAGTGCTTTCAGTATTTCCAGTGAAAACTTATGAGCCTCAAGGTAAGAAAAAATACACTAATTTATATATTTTATTACTAGGAAGTAAGCAATCAAGTGCTTTGAAAAATGAAGATGCAGCACAAAGGTATACTATGTAAATTATATGACATAGTAATGAAGTATAGGTTGTAGCTGTGTTGGTCTAAGGATATAGGTAGGCAAGGGTCTTTGGGTAAATCTGATGTCTTTTTATTAGACCAACTCAGATAGTTGGAAAAATTCTTCTTTGCAAGCTTTTGGGCACAAACACCCTTTGTGCAGCTGCAGAAGTATCTGCAGTTGGTGTGCGCTGTTCCTGGATGGAATGAATAGTAAAGAAGCCAGAGGCTTCAATAGGAGTCAGTGGGTGAGAAACGTGGGGGGTGCAGAGGGGAAGAGCTGTCTCTCACCCATTGACTCCTGGTTACCTTGTCACTGAGCCTTTCTTACATGCACACCGGCCTCTGGCTTCTTTACTATTCATTCCATCCTGGAGGAGCGCACAACATCTGCAGATGCTTCTACAGCCTGAGGAAAGGTGTTTGTGCCCGAAAGCTTGCAAGGAAGAATTTTTTCAAAATATTTGAGTTGGTCTAATAAAAGAGATCAGATTTACTCAAAGAACCTTGTCTGTCTATGACATAGTAATCACATTTCTTTGCATTATTTTGGAGTTCCCACTTTGCATACATTTAGCAAATAGGCTAGCAACTATGCTATTCAGTGTTGTAAAATGTTTTAAATAACCCTGCAAATGTGGAGACAGGACACTTTAAGACATGTTAGGCAAAAATGGTATCAACTATACCCCCAAACTATGTTAAAGGAAAGTTGAGGTTGCCAAGTCAAGTAGCTGGGAAATGACAGAACTGAAATTGTCTGTGCAACATTAATTCTGCCCCCTTGTGTGTGTCATGACACATTTTTTAATCGTGTGGTTGCATTCTGTTTTCCACAGGATCTCTGCTTTTTCACTGCATAGGCTGAACATCGTTCATATATGTATGTGTATGTCAGGAACACACACACAAGGATGTTTCAAAAGCTATAATTTCAAAGTAAAACCATTTTGTGTGCAGTGATCATTTATTGGGCCACATCACTTCTCTATCTAGTTGCCTTGCTTGGCAACACAGGTATTCCAGTGAGTCACAGCTTTCTTGATACTATCCTCAAAAATGCTTTTTGGTTACTATGACAGTCACTTCTGCACTACAAGTTGCACCTCTGCATCACTGGAGAATCTGTGTTCATGAAGAGCCTCCTTCAATGGTTCAAACACGTGATGATAACTTCGTGCAAGATTGGGACTGTAGGGTGGCTGTGATAAGATTCCAAAGCCTAGTTCGTGCAAAGTCTCAACAGTCAACTGTCTTGTGTAATCTCACATTGTCGTGCTGGAAAACACTTTGGTTATGCTTTCACATGTGGTCCAAATAGCTGGCTTCAGGTGGTTTTAGAGGAAGTGGTAGTAGGTGTTACTGTTGATTGTAACCTCATGCTCCATTAAGTGGACAAGAAGTCCCATGCAATCCCAGACCAGGATGAGCAAAACCTTTGCAGAGGATAATTGAGTGCAGAATTTTTTGGGTGGTGGCAACAATGTGTATTTCTATTGCATGCTGTCTTTTGCTCTCAGAATTGTAATGCTGGACCCCGGTCATGTCCCTGGTGACAGTGCATGAAAGGAGCCTTTCATCCTGTACATGCTACAGAAGCTGGGTATACACTTCCACACGTTGTCATTTATGCACACCTGTCAGTTGCTTTGACGCCCACAGAGACACTTTCTGGTAATTCAGGGGATCAGGCAAAATGGCATGGATACTGCTAGCACTTAAGCCTACTTCCACAACTAGTTCAAGAATGCTCACTTGCCTATTCACATGACAGCAGCATCAGTCTGGGTGGTGGTGTCCTCCATTCTGGCTGTGTTGGGGCATCTGGCTCAGGTTTGAACTTTTCCATCCACTCATAGACCTTCCATTGAGTCACACAGTTCTTACTGTATTGTGCCCTAATCCTACAGCGAATTTCACAAAGCAGCACATCTGTGGCCCACAAAAAAAACACAGTGTTGGAATCCTGTTCTTGTTTGGTACATGCTGACAGCTACATGCCCATGTTGTTTACATGTTCACTAGCATGATGTGTGTTTGACAAAACCACGTGTACATTCAACAGTGCCACCATCAATGTTCCCCACTGCTTTTTAGTTTCCCACTTTGTCGCAGGCTTACAGTAGGCAGCCATTTTGCTGTTAGTTTCTGAAATGTGTGTGTGTATGGTGTATGTGTATGTACATATTTCTGTGTCCTCATTAACTTACTTATTCACATGAACAATGTGCAGCCTGTGCACTGAATAAAGCAGGGATCCTATGGAAAAATAGATGCCTATTTTTTTCCTTATTGTTCAGCATATGGCCTCAAACCTTATTTACTGCACTCTTTTCAAACACTGCTTTCAGGACTGTTATTAATATTCTTCTGACTTCTGATATTTTGTATTGCCTATCACCATGCTATGCTTCTCAAATCTTTTCGCAGCATACCTGTGAGGTATGAGGGTATTGTCCCCATTTTGCAGAGACACTGAGAGCTTAAAAGACAGTCATCCACTAATTTTGAGTTGCGTACTCAAAGTCTGAGATGTATAGATAGTATATTTTTCAGATTACTTAGTCCTGTTAATACTTAATATACTTGAGTACAGCTCCTGTTGACTTTAGCTGCAGCTTTGCTGTGCTCAGTGGTTCTGCAAATCAAATCCCAGAGTTTTAAATTGGGCACCCAGGAGTTGAGGAACATACTATTTGTGGCCTCATATGAAGTTTGGCTTATGTGGCTTGTTCAGCATCATAGGAAATGGGTAGCAGAGATTGAGGGTAAACTAAAAATCTCTAGGCACCATTCAGCTATCTTAGCTGCATGATGATTCTTTCTCTTGCATTTTTTGCCTCATTTAGTACATGCAGGAACATACTACAGATCACAGCTTCTTTAACTAAACTGTCCTGATGCATCCCCAGCAGATAGATCCCAACTGTGCACAGGGGTCCTGTAGAAGAAAGTCTCACATGATAAAGGGCCGTTTCCTAATGTATAAAGAGGTTGAATGAATCAGTTTTGAATGCCTGTGAGTGCTTTATTTAGAAATCTATATTTCCTTAATATTTTGTGTGTGTGTGTAATTTTCATGATTGTTTGTTTATTTTTTTATTTTTGTGACTCAGAAGAGTGGGGGGGAGGGGTTGAAATTCCATCATGTAGAATCATTTTAACACCCACCCAGGTCTGTACCAGAATGTAGGAGTCAAATTCAGCAAAATCCAAACTTCAGGTAAATCTGGGATAATGTCATCAAATGACTATAAACAAAATATAGTAATTGTTTTTCTTGCACTTCTGACTTCTGGAAGTTGTGTTTCATTTACTGTTTTCCTGGGCATGGTTCAGAGGCACATGTTAATCTGGTGGTAGTGATATATCATTATTTTCTTAATACATAAAGATTCTTTGTGCAGGCTGCTTGTAGGGACATATTTATGTCCTGTAAACTTTTTCTGTATTTGGTGCAGGA